TAGTGTATCATGTAATTTTTTAGTAGATTTTTAATTTTCTTTGCTCGTGGGAGTGATGTGGCAACAAAACTTAATCATAAGGCTCATGAATGGGCCTAGGAAGTAGAAAAACAACATTAGTGGTTGTACGCAAGTATTTAATTCAATGAGTGAATCAGTGGTTTAGATCTATAAAAGTATCAATATTCTACAATCCGGTTTACGACTTTTGACTGATTTTATTTAGTTATAAAAATAAGACTTTGTCGTGTATATATACTATCAAAATATATTCAATGTGAATAGTATAATTTGAATATCTGATTATGTCTTTATTATCGCACGAGACTGACTAGGGGCAATTTTCACATGAATGACGGTTATATGCGGATGAGTTTCCTAAAAATAGCCGATGTTATATGGCATGCATGTTGTTTATTACATTTATTAGTATAGATAGATAATTTTATGAATTTCTATATTATTTAAAATGGCGATGAATACAATATTATTTATTATTGTGCGCCATATGGAAAAGTCAATAATTTGTAGTCATATTTGAAAAATCATTTGCAATCAGAACACAGAGTGCATTTTGTAATATGGTCATTAGTTATATTTTATTCGAAATTATTTGAAAATTCAGACTAATTTCGACAAATTTTGTCAAATGGACACATATAATATATATGAGTTTTTTAAAAGCTCTGATGAAGTTTACGCAACTATAAAATTACATGGAATGAACCATTTTTATGAGTTAGTTTTGCAACGACTTCAAAAATGTAATTTTTATCCTAATATATAGTAAAATGATAGAAGTAATTTAATTATGAAAAATCAATAAATTTTGAATGATGGTCCTCGGTTTTAGAAAATATACTGTATTATATATACACTTTTCATATTATATATAAAGCACGTGTATTTTTTTGTTAAATTTTAATTTCTAAATCTAACCAATTTGTCACCTAACTAACATTTTTGATAAAGTATAAAATTGAACTAGTGGAGGGTATGGCATCGTGCCTTAGGGCAAATTGCTGGAACTTCCCGTACCGTAACGAAATGTTCGAGGAATATGAAATGTTTACAAATAGGTTTTTATGAATATTGTAACATTGTCTAATATGACTTAAAAGAGTTATATAAACGGAACTGCAAATTTGAAATTATTTGTTTAAAGTATATTAGAACTTTAGTCAGAATTAAAATTAAAATCTGAATTATTTTCGATATATAAAAAAAAATTTTTTTTGAAAAAAAATTGAAAAAAAAAAATTGAAACAAAACATTTTTTTTTCCAAAATCAATTACTTTGTTAAAACAAGCAGAAAGTTTTTTGAATCATTTAAATCGGACGCTTAGTTCTCTCAAAAACTGCCATTTTTTGCACATTTAGCTCTGTATCTTCGAAATGGCTGGGCCTGCCTTTGCCAAAAACTAATCATTTTTTCTCCCAATCATTACAAATTGAATGTTTTCAGATCATTCAAATCAAATGCTTCATTCTCTCAAAAACTCGATTTCTATTTGCTGCACTCTTTGCTCTTTATCTCCGTAACTGCTGGTTCTGTCTTTGAAAAAAACTAATCAGCTCATCTCCCTATCAATAGGTATCGAATGCTTTTTGAACCATTCAAATCGGTTGATCCGTGCGCCCGAAAATTGTATCCATACATACACACACACACATCAATTTTTTCTGAGATATGCCAAAATGTTCAGAAACCTTCAAAACGTCGAGAAACGCAAAAATTTTCAATTTCAATTTCTGGACGATTACAATAACTAACCCTACGGGAAGTTAATAATCAGAAATTGTTTCTATTTTAATATTATAGCAACTCGATATACTCGAATATTTATATACTCATAATATGCACACATCAAAAATTACCTAAAGGAAAATACCACTTATAGGTATAAGTGGTCAATTTATTTTGGTTAATAAAAACTGAAACAGTTTTATGATAAAAAGTTAAAGAGTAGAAATAAAAAAAACATAAGAAATAGAGTAGATATACATTAAAACTAAAAAATGAAAGAAAGCAATAAAAGTGGCAATTTGTTTTAGTGACTTATTTATTTCCTTTACCTTTGACTCTGATAATAAACTATACATCTTTGTATACTTGAAACTTTCAATAGTTTTCCAAGTAAAGAAGCAAAACATACAATTTGCTTTCAAACTTTCACGAACACCTGAAAGTTTTCTGCTAATTAGAGAACCAAACACAATCACCGCAGGTAAAGGACATATTTGCACCTCTCGTCGTAATTTGAACAACGAAGTGTTTGTCCTATTTTATTCTAAGATGCTATTCAGCTATTTTATTTCTATTGACCTGTTGTCGTTTATTACCTTTATCTGTATCACCTCTCAACTCGATCTATCTATTTATTATTCTAAGTCGACATTCCTCTCATTGTAACTCCAAGTCGAAGTTTTCTAATCATGCGTTTGCCCATGCCGGAGTTTTGGAAGTTTTCACGGCAACGGTTGTGACGAATAGAAGTCTCGAGGGTAAATTGCACACTGGGAACTTTTTATGGCGCAAACAACGAACCGTTCAGCGTATATAATGGCATATGCGATGATATAGCTTTATTATGTGACGGATTCGCATATATTCTGCTTCAGTTTTACGTGGTTATACTTCAAACATGACGGGAGGAAAATATATGGAAAAATCACATGTATGGGACGTGGGTTAAATAGTGTAGTTACGTACCATAACGAATCCTGCGTTCTCTTTTTGATAGATTATTATTATTTATTTATTGTAACAACTGATATTAATAATACGTAATAATACACAATTATATACTAAATGGTTCTATAGTAAATTACATATAATTTAAAGAACACATATTATTCAATAAACTTATATAAAGTTTAGTGTAATGAATATCACACAAATTTTAGTTAGAGGCTGATCTTTGTATGAAGATGTCTGAGAAGTTCATGACAATATTCCTCAATGGTGTAAAAAAACATATTTCTTAAAAATAAGTCATTTATAAAATTTCTCATTTTCTAATACTTAATGGCAATTTGTTAAATAGCACAATATTCAGTACATCTAAAGTATTGGATGAAATAGCGAGTTTTAATGTGGTACCTTTAACAAGTTAATGTCTTAATTAGGTAATGTTTTATATTTGGGGTTAGAAACAATTAAACACATATGATGTGATAATTAGATTTGGGATTTGAACTTAAATTAAACAGATTGGCGTTATTTTCTGTGAAACAAATATAGTTTTCAAGTGGTTGAATTGATTTCTCAGTTTTAAAAGAATATTGCGAAGCTTAGATTTTTTTTTACTTTAAATGGACTGGATATTTTACTAGAAATAACGACTTTACCTTTTACATGCACAAAAAAATTCCAAAACTCTGTTATATTTCTAAATACTTAATGCATTCATTGCCATCGTTTCAAAGATGCTCGTAGAGTTTGCTAAAATATGTGAACTTTGCTAATCTAATTGCTAATATTTAATGTTACAAAGTAGTTCACATTTAAAATTCATCATTTTATACGCTAACTCCATGAGTAATAATATCAGTAATGTATTCAAATTAATTTATCAAAAGCGAATTAATGTCGAAAAAGAATGATTTAACATGCAATTCCTAACATTCTCTAAACTAAAGATATATTATTATTGTTTTAACTTCATATCTTTTTCATTGCTAAAATAAGCAAATATATTTTGTTATAACGTTTATTTTTTTACCTATATTTTTATATAAGTAAACAGGTTTTTATAAAAATATTGGAATCTTTTACTTTCTACTATTAGCTGGTTTTTAATTCATTAGCAGAAAACTTCAGTACTCTGAGGCAAGAACTAGTATATTTATTATTTTAGTACATTTGTTGAACAAAAATGTTCTGTAGTTAAGTATCATAAGTATTTTTTTCTATTTTGAAAGAACTTGAATGATACTAGATTAATTTACGATTACAAAGTGCATTATATACAAGAAAAATCATGGAAAGCTTCAGTTCATTATTAATTAAAGCAAATTTTCATGATGATATTTATGATTAATGACGATAATTAGATTTTGATGTTCAGGTATAGTAGGGACACCTGAATTTGTATAATAGACACAAAGATTAATTTTACAAATAATATTTTAGTATATAACAATAATTATACCAAAAGGAAATTCTTGTATTTACCTTGCGTTTGTAAAATAACTAATGAATAGATCTACTGAAGGATCTGTGAAAAAAAAACGTGGAAAAAAATAAAATATTAAATTAATAATGAAAAAATATTTGAATTATAAAAATCATGGTATTTATGTACAATTTTTTTTATCAAAACGCCTCTTTCATATAAAACGAAATAGTGTGTTTATTAAAAAAAAAGCAAAAACTTGCAACAACAGAATTCCAACACGTTTAGTAAAACAGTAGAATTTTGCTAAAATCAACACCATTAAAAACCATAGGGTGTCGGACTAGTGGAAGTTTCGAATTACTAAATTATAGTGAAAAACTCATAACATATTGAAAATAGCGGAAAATTTTCTAGTAAGTTTCAACAAAATTGCCCAGCGCTGGAAAAATCGAATTATTAAAGGTGTCGGTCTAGATTCTATTGTATGCTAATCATTCCGATGAATCATAAATCATACCTTTTTATAGCGCTTTGAATACTGAAGGTTTTGAAAGCTCATCGGACATATTTTGATAAATACATATTTATGATAATATGGTAAACCATGATCATTTTTGTACTTGAATTAGTTCAACTACTGCGTTGGAATATTGGATACAAATTAGTGTATTGATTTTTTGAAGCAAAATTTTTATCTCTTGAGCATATGCTAAAAATATGTTATTTCAACGAGGGTTTAAGTTATAAATCCGATTGCTCGCTCTGATCCTTTGCCCCTAACCTTCATATTCCTTTATCCTCAACGGACTATTGGATCCTTTACCATCGTTACAATGTGAATTTTCGAATGGCTTAGTAAAAGTTTATTTTATTTTCAGTTGAACACAGAATGGGCGCAAGTGGAAGAGATCCGATTGGTGAACGACGGAACTGGTTTGGCGTTTGGCATCATAGGAGGCCGCAGCACGGGCGTGGTCGTCAAGACCATCTTACCCGGAGGAGTTGCCAGCAGAGTGAGTTTCATCATTTGAAAGCATTTTATTTTATTGCTGCAGTAGTTGAAGCTGATACTTCTTGATATTGGTCATGAATTTATTAAAGCTGGTTGCTAGTTTGTACTTGTTATAGTTTTCGTATCAATATGTCGAACTTGTCCATATTGGGATAAAATTCAACTTTGTCGATCAAAGTGCCCAAACAATTTTTTTTAATAACAACTTACTAGTAATCGTATATTTTTTGTAGCAATATTGCCGGATGAAGGCAATTTAGTTTCTTTGTCCAAACATTAATTGAACAATGAATTTGTTGATTTACTATCTTTGTCATATTTGTGTCATTTATATTTGATACCAATTACACAGGCCAACAAAGAAAATGGTGCAAACGATTTTAACGCTGTTTTTAAGTATATTTGGGATGCTGATTTCAAAAATCACATTGGTTTTTTTCTATGAGCTTTAGTTTTCAAGATATGATATATAAGGAATGAAAGTACAAAATAGTAATACAATTCAGAATGCCATTTTAATGAGATATGCCTACTCGTACATACAAACTTACAAGACCCATGAGTTCGAAACAGCAAACGTTTATGAGAGTTATGAATAAAATACTGTTTTATTAGAATGACCAATCAAGATGTAATTCTTAGCATTCTTCATTATGTGAAAAATTTATATTATATAATATAATGGTAAAACAATGCATAGCGATTTGTATAGGAGCTATAAAAGTGTCATGCGATGGTAAGGAAAATTACAAATATAAAAAGAAACAATATTGATCACAATTCATTCATCATAATTTACATTATGATGAATAAATTGTGATCAATATTGTTTATTTTTATTGCGATATTATACAAACTGTTATATAAATTCAAATTTAAGATTTTCTCAAGTAGGTATTACTAGCTTGAACACTAATAGGAGAGACTGTGTATGGCTGTGCCACTTTATTCTTGATCAGCAATAATTTTGTTATTTAATACTTAGCTGCGAGAAAAGTAAATTAAGTTAAAATTAAAATAAATTTTTGTCTGACCCATTCGGTCTTAGTTGGGACATTAGTTGACACTGTGAAAAGTTCTTTTCCGGACTACCTAGAATGGACTTGGTTTCGGCAACTTTTTTTCAAGTTTCAAACTAGAGCTGATACCAAAAAATGGTTTGCAGATTTGAAATCAGCGCAAAAAATACTCTAACTCAGCTCTAACATTTGATGCACCAATCAAAAAAATTTTTTTTGTAGGCCTGTGTTATGGATGAAAAATATACCAATATATTGGAATAAAAAGGTTGTAACCTCATTGGCTATTGAAAAGGTAAATTCCCTATTGGCTACTAAATGCCAATTAACCAAATGTTGTTTCAAGGTGGAAATGTTCAGAATTTTTTTTGTGTATGGATTTTACAAGAAAAGAACCAGTTACTGTTCGCAACTGGTATCCATTTGATGAATTCTCCATATTTTTCACATCATTATTCAGCAAAACTATTAAGTATTTTTTTATAAATGTTAAAATGGGTTTGCTCTTAATACATGGCACAAGTATTTTTTTAAAACATGGTAACCCTGGACGTTTGATTAAAATGCTCATTTTTGATTAGGTAACAATTCATCAAAAATACTTGATGCAGAAGATCATGAAAATGATTAAATATGTTGGTATGTCTCTGATTTATCATTGCCATTCATGTAATACGTCTCAGTTTTTGATGCGAATTAAATTTACTAATTTTTGATCAACGAAGTATACTTGCACAAACAACCATTATAACATTAAATAATTCATAAATCCCAATATTTGATTTTCTTAACATTATAATACCAGTTTGCATTAAAAACCCTATTAAATATTAATAGTCCACTCAAGAGTATTTTTCTCTCTGCTTCCCAAAGATTATTCAGCATTACGTGACCTTTTTTTTCAATAGCTATTTGTATGCGATACATCGTATTATAAGTAAATCCTTCCTATATTTTTGTTCAATCTATTTTTATTTATGTATTGTAAGAGTACATTATAAACACGAATTTCCAATGTTTTCTCCCGATGTTTATGCTCAAAGAGAGCATAGGAAAAAACGCTATCAATATCTTCAAAAGTAAAACTGAATCAAGAAATAAATATAGATATAGAAATGTTCTATATCGCATGCCAATCGCATATTCTTGAAAATGTAATATGAAAATACATCTGAAGATACTACGTGAATGCTTCAAATAATATTTTTATTGTTGGTTAAGTGGAATTTTATCTTTATGCATGGTTACGGAATATATTGAAGAATTATTGAGGTTAATAGCTTTTGAGTAAATTGCAGATGTGCACCGAAAATATACCACTATAGTGAAAAAAATCATAATTTTCGAGATAGTTTTTCCTTGTACTATCATAATATTTTTAATCGTTAGGTTTACTAAATTAATAAGTGTAATATTTTAATAAATATGCAAAATTTGGTACTAAATCAAAAGTTGTCTTTAGCAGGTTAAAAGTATGAAATTTTACAAACAGAATTGCATTTTGTTAGATAATTATTTTGGTTTAATCATATTGGATAATAAGTCTGGTTTAAAAATATGATAATTATTTAAATAAGTTGGAGACATGGAAAAAGATTGACGTTCGGCTACGTTTCAAAAGTTTTTATTTATTTTGAACTAACTTAAAAAAAGGAAATACGTGCTAATGTGCATTATGTATGGTTTCAAGAGAATGGATTAATCGAATTATTCATAAAAAATATTTGATTCATTTGTGTAAAAATTTATTTGGCTGTTATTTCTAACTACAAATTGTACTGTAAGTAACATTAATAATATCAACTTTGATATTGTGCTGACAATAATTTGTAACGAGTACCTACAAAACTTTGAATGCAGTGCGTCATTTATAGTAAGAAGTTTTACTACAGTAAGATACGTGATCGTAGAAAAGTTGAAGTAACTTTTATAAATTTCTCACGTGTTTATCGAGTATTAAGGAAAACAAATTGTGTGCTGTTTTTAAAGTAATTGCGGTAATTTAGATTCAAGACTCTAAAGTTATACAGCGCTCCGGAAGCCAAAACTTAAGCGAACTGCTTCAAGTGAAGCAGAATTGAAGCAGTTTTAGTGCTGCGATTTTAATGAATCCAACATATCCAATTTCATGGAGGATGCGGTATTGCTATTCTTGTATGAGTTTGCTCTTGTATAACTTGCACTTAAACAAATATACACTGCGGTCTATTGGCTACGTTATTAAATCACGCGATAGAGAAATTCCCCTGGTATAGTTTCCTAGAATATTATTGCTAGGGACAATTTATGATATCCTGGAGATGAAACTCTGTTTTTAGTAAAGCAAAGTTCAATTAATTCTAACTTTATCCATACTTTGCTTTTTTCAATTAATTAGCAAATGATACATATTGAATTTATATTCTAAGTTGACTTTATTTCAGAACGATAACTGCTTCACTAATAATTTATTTCTTTTGTGTGGGCTTTTCAGTTGCTAAAAGCTTTCTAAATTTATCCACCCTAGATTGATATCCTACATGGTTAATAAAGTTCATGTGTAATATTTAATTTTGTTAAAATTAGTGGAAATTGATTCAAGATCGGACGTATTAATTTTGCACAATTTTTCACAAATTGATCTACAAGTGGTTGCCAATATTATTGTATTTACAGATCATGAGAAGAATTGAGTTGATTCTTAATTGTCTTCAAAAGTAAATTGACATTATTCATATATATATATATATAATATATATATGAATATGAATAATATATAATATTCATTATTGACATATATATATATATGTAGCGGGTTGCCAACACGCATCGCGGCTTGTCAACACGCATCACATGTTACTGGACAGATTGGCCCATATATTGACAGCACAGAAAAAAAACAAAAATTAATTCAAGTGTCAGATCGGACATGGCTTTTGTTTCTCCCTAGTCGAATTTGCCAAAAATGTATAATTCTTGAAACCTTTCTTTTCGATTATAAATAAGAAAATACCAATCACATTTTATTAACGATAAATATGACAACACATAGTGTAGTGGATATTAATCATACATAAAATAAACCAAATATAAATAATATTTTATGGAATTTATTATGACTACAATTGGTATTAATATGGACCAAGCCTCCATATTTTGGTGACCGCGAACGTGAATTAATAGCACGCATATAGAAGGAAAGAAGGTAAGAAGATCAAGACACATTTAGAAGTAACAAAAAAATAAATTGAAGTCTCATGAATTATTAAAAAAAGAATTTTTAAAAAATAAATTATGAATATAAATGGCTCACAACCGCCATAACTCGAAGAATATTCTAATCCTACAACTGAGACTCCGACCACGCACATCGAGAACAACAACAACACGTGCTCAATAAATCCCTCATTATCATGGAAAATGAGTCGATTATGAGCACCACGGCAGAGGACAGGGAGCACCAACAAACATCGGCAACCGCCATTCAAAAGGGCATATACTCAACCGCTAACTCACCAGCGAAGGGCCACATACACTCAACCGCTAACTCATCAGCGAAGGGCCACATACAATCAACCACTAACTCACCAGCGAAGGGCCACATACACTCAACCGCTAACTCACCAGCGAAGGGCCACATACACTCAACCGCTAACTCACCAGCGAAGGGCTACATACACTCAACCGCTAACTCATCAGCGAAGTGTCAAATATACTCAGCCGCTAACTCACCAGCGAAGGGCCACATCTACTCAACCGCTAACTCACCAGCGAAGGGCCACGTAAGCAATCAACAAACTCAACAAGCCAACACGGCATTCAAAACGGCCACGGCCACGAACAAATAAAATTTATCACACAATCTCAACCAAAAGAAATTTACAAGGAAGTTCAAGATGGCAGTCAGAGATGCGAAACAATCTTTTTCATTAGGGCGGAGTGATGTAGCGGGTTGCCAACACGCATCGCGGCTTGTCAACACGCATCACATGTTACTGGACAGATTGGCCCATATATTGACAGCACAGAAAAAAAACAAAAATTAATTCAAGTGTCAGATCGGACATGGCTTTTGTTTCTCCCTAGTCGAATTTGCCAAAAATGTATAATTCTTGAAACCTTTCTTTTCGATTATAAATAAGAAAATACCAATCACATTTTATTAACGATAAATATGACAACACATAGTGTAGTGGATATTAATCATACATAAAATAAACCAAATATAAATAATATTTTATGGAATTTATTATGACTACAATTGGTATTAATATGGACCAAGCCTCCATATATATATATATATATATATATATATAATATTTTGTATAAATGAAATGCTTTAGTAATTAACACTATAGAATACCATGATTTTTGGACATATAAGACTGTATTATACCTTCACCAGGTATCAAAAGTTCAACGATTAACTTATATACATATTAGGATTTTTATGAATCTACAGTAACTTTCTTCTTCTATCTTAATCAGAATTTTAATAAATTGAATTTAATATCGAAATAATCTCTGCAATACCGTAATGTATTTTTATCAAGCTCGACATTGGCATGCAGCCCCCAACGTTAATTGTAATATCGCGTGCTGCAATAATGTTCGAGAGAGTTCGAAACAGCAAACATTTATGAGAATTATGAATAAAATACTGTTTTATTAGAATGACCAATCAAGATGTAATTCTTAGCATTCTTCATTATGTGAAAAATTTATATTATATAATATAATGGTAAAACAATTCGTAGCGATTTGTATAGGAGCTATAAAAGTGTCATGGTAAGGAAAATTACAAATATAAAAATTAACAATATTGATTACAATAATTTCATTATTATGCAAATAGCCGTATTATACAAACTGTTATATAAATAGTTATACAAATTCAAATTTAGGTATTTTTCAAGTAGATATTACTAGCTTAATTATCAATAGGGGAGACTGGGTACAATTGTGCTACGTTTTTCTTGATCAGAAATAATTTTGTTAATTTACCACTTATCTGGGAAAGAAGAAAATCAAAATAAATTTATTAATAAACATTTATCTACGCGAAGATACTGAAATACTGTCCTTAAATACTATGGATTTGTCATGAAATCAACCGTCCCTCGAATCATTTTTTCTTGTATTGAATTTTTCTTTTCCTTTTTTTTCGTATTTTGTCTTAGTTAAGTAAGAATTTTTCATCTGTTTAATCATCACCCGTAAAGGACAATAAATCTATGTCATCTATGTCACAAACGCACCCACAAAATTTGTCACAACCATACTCAACTCACACTTTTGAAAACAAATCATCATTATGACCGAGCTAAAGAAAAATGTTCTAATTGCTACTAATGTTCAACTTACAGCAAAATAACAATCAAAGTGATCTTGGGGCGTCCATTAATCACGTGAGGTTTTTTTGGGGGAGGGGGAGTTTGACAAAAAATCACGAAATATCACGTGGGGGAGAGAGGGGTATAGTAAGATATCACGTGTATTTATATTTTAACCGTTTTTTTGAAAAATCAAACATTTTCAAAAAAATATTACTTTATTCAAAAAATTTACAGTTTTTTCACATAACTAAAATTACACGTGATGTTTGGTGGGGGAGAGGGGCTAATTTTGAATATCACCATGTATCACCAAGGGGGAGGAAGGGTCCAAAAATCCTTAAAAACTCGCTCACGTGATTAATGGACGCCTCCCTACCTGTATACAATTAATAGCAATTCGGTCTACAGGTCATGCAAATGTAAGGCACTGACTGAAAGCAATAATAGGAACATGTTCGAACAATCATACTTCATTTTTCCCCCTTTGAATACTATCTCAATATCAGTATAGTTTAGCTATCGTGAAAACTATCACTACTTTTCACTCACTATTTTTCTAAATAAAATTTTATTTTCCTAATGCATTCAGAAGCACAAAGAAATTTATAGTTTCTATTAGTACAAAATAATAAACATACTTTTGATCAATTATCATTATTAATCAGATCTTTAATTCTTTGCTCGAGACTCTATGTTGAGAATCATAGCTTTAGAGATTTCATGAATTGATTCTAATTTAATTTTCCGTTCTTATCTGTGGGGCAGGACGGACGCCTTCAGAGCGGCGACCACATCTTGCAAATAGGCGACGTTCAACTGAGAGGAATGGGCAGCGAGCAAGCGGCCGCCGTCCTCAGACAGTGCGGGGTTCACGTCAGGCTACTTGTCGCTCGTCCCGTTGAGCCGTCATCGCAGGACTATCGGGTCAGTACACTTTTGAGAGCAACATATTTCTGTCAGATGATAATCTTATAATCAGTCTTGGTTATGAAAGATATATTTGTAAAATAGATTGTTCTTGTTATTATGCACTTAAATTTGAATTTAAATTATATTCAATATTGAATCGTGAAAAAATAATTGGCTTTATGTTATTAGGGTGGTCCTTAACATGGACATTTTCGAATTTCCTTGCTCCCAGTGGCTCAAGTGGTTCCAAATTGATAAAACACAATTCTCTGAAAGTTTTAGCTCTTAATATTAACTTTTAGATAGTGATAGTTTATCAATTTGGAACCATTTGAGCCCTCGGGAGCAAGGAAATTCGAAAATGTCCATATTAAGGACCACCCTAATATATATATATATATATGTGAGCAGAGTTAAAACTCCAACTCAATTCAGGGAAGAATAGTGAGATCATGAATATCACATCATGAATATGTATATATACAGGGTGTCCCAGAATTCAACATTACGCAGATACAGTTTTATAGTATTGATCTAGTAACTATCAATAGTTACTGGTTGTGAGTAAAACGCACTAGCACAAAACCTGTTTTTTCATGATTATATTCTTTTACTCAATTTATTTATTATTGAGTATTTTATTTTTTTAAAATAGATAGAATGCGCCAACTTTGATGGAATTTGCCAACATTAGTACATATTTTTTAAAATATACCAATTTTGAAAATTTTAAATTTTTAGTTTAACAAAAGGTTTAAATTTTTGATTACATACTTTAATTATTCGTGTCATTATTTTTGACTGTGGTTCTAGAAACATTATTTAAGGTTATGGATCCATAGTTTGAATGAACAAAATTGATGAAAATTCATTACAATAATTCACCAAAGCTGTAGTTTGCACTTAAAAGCTCATTTTAATCTGCATGCAATAATTATTTTTTGTAATTTTTTTCATAATAGTTATCATAATGGTTATGAGAGATTTTCATGATAGATCAATACTATCACCCCGTTTTAACTTGACATAAAGTTTTGGGACATTCTGTATAAGCTTTATTGATTCAGTTAATTGAAACATATCACAGAGTTCTCACTTTGTAAATATTAAAAAATGCACAAATATATAGATATAAATTATACATTTATACATATACTTTATATTGCAATACATAACGATTATAGGAGACCCTTTTCCATATTTTTTATTGTATATATTATATTTGCAAAACTATAAATTTTAAAATTTTATTAGTATACAAGCGCAAAATAAAACTTTAAAGGGTGGTTTACATTTAAAAGATGAGGTGTGATTTCAATGTTTGAAAATTTTAAAAAATTGTATCTTTTACGATGAAAATTTCAAGCAGATCTTTATTCGTAGATAAAAAAGATTGATAAATTTTGCAGAATTTTAATGGATATTTTACATTATAAGACATGACGTACTCTAAGATTTTTCAAATATCTTACTTTGCTTTTATTTCAAATATTACATTCACCATTATCATAATTTTGAGACATCTTTCTTAAGGTTTGGAAAACGGCGAACGTATTTCGTCCGAATGTATTAAGATAACAGCATCAGATTCAAAGGAAACTTAATGTTACGTCGGGTTATCCTGGCATAACCGGGATCACCCATGTCCTACGGGTTTTCTGTAGAGGTCTCACGCATAATTTAGTCTAGGGTTGTTAAGATCTCCAGACTCGTTTTATGAAGTACCCTTATATCGATAGACATGAATTAGATATGGTGTTATTCAGCAACGGGTTTGCTAAACCGCAAACCTTCGGGGTAACCCTATCTTGAACTATTGAACTAAATATACATGTTTAGAAAATTGACATATGACTGTTGGAACATTTAGTGCCGTATTTACATACGCATATGAATTAATAATAATCTTACATTCAACCTACAATAATTTACCAGTCACAATTAGTGATAAAAGTCTTATATTAAATTAACAGAAGCAGCGTTATTTGAAAAGAATAGACTGGCATTCAACGCCACTTCACCAGTGATAAATGTGATAAACATTTATTAAAACAACAACAATTATTATAAGACTTTTAATTATTTTCAAGACCTTCATTATACCTTTACATTCTAAATCTCTACATAATATTATTTTTCAATTAAATACACAAGATGATTTTATAATTATACAGACGTTGGGTAGCCATGGTCCCATAGTGCCGACACGATTACTTGGAGACACAGAACAATTAGGAAAGCATCTTCTTGAAATGGGCTACACAGGAGAATTGTCCATGTCTCTGCCGGATCAATATGTCGTCAGGACTAATGGGAGCACGGTTTTGGTAAGATAATAGAAAAATGATATTTGAAACATAATTCAGCAATGATTTTAATAAGATTTAAGGAAATCTTAATAAATCAGTTATTATTATTAATTTTTTTTATCTTTTTCCCCTAGTCATCCCCAACAATAATTGATGTCGTCCGCGATCCGATTCCTGCGGGTGCTTCTCGCCGAACTAGAGACACTATAGTATCTCACGTGCCAGGGGCTTTGCCAGCACATTTACGACCAAAAGATACATCTTCAAATACAAACACTCCAAACGACCCAAATTCTTTACCGCTGGACGGTGATTCTTCTGTAGATATTGTCGAAGGAGTCACTGTAGTCTTGGAAAAGACTGCAGATTTTGGACTTGGTATTACTGTAGCTGGTTATGTTTGTGAGAAAGGTGAGATGGTGATTAAACATTGGATAAAACATTAATTACGAGTATCAAGATAGAGTTTTTGTGGTTAATGTAATATGTATAGATTCATGTTGTGGCAAGAAAATTTTTGTATTCAAATCTTAATATGACTTAAATTATAAATTAGCATGACTTAAATGACTTATCAAGAAAGTAGTATTATTTTTTATATAGATGCTGTTACAAAACAAAACATTTTTATAACGACATTTTATATTATTAAGTGAAAAAATTCAAAATTCAATTTTATAGGAGATCTAGATCATTAAATATAAATTGCGATAATAAAAACTGTGCAAGTGATTCACCGAAGAGCCATAAAATAGCGGTTAACGTAAGCTCGGAAGCCTATAAAACAATCATAAATAAACGTGCTAAAGTTTATTTACAATTTCTGTCCTATTCAATAAAATAACGTATTCAATTTATTTTAAAATAGGCGTAATTTCCAATTTAATGTATATTTGAGAATTATACAATTAGGAGTAAACAATTCAATGAAGATAATTCATTATATAAGTAATTTGAAATTTTTAAACTTTAGTCAAAAATATATAATATTAAATTTAAAATAACTCAATCTGAATTTAGTACATGATTTCCATCTGCACCGTCGCAATTATTGCAAAACTCTATTGATATATTAAAAATTTGAAATTTAAACCCGTAATCTTGCCAAACGTTTATTTTTCATAAATTTCCATTATTTTAGAAATTGTAATAAATTAAATGATTAAATTCTCATAAAATTGAACTCTATACTAATAATCTTCTTGATAATTATATTTTTATCATGATTTCCAACTGCACCGTCACAATTATTACAAAACTCTCGTGATATTTTAAAAATTTGAAATTTAAATCCATAATCTTACAAAATGTGTTTATCATAATTTTCCATAATTTTAAAAATTGTAATAAATAAAATGAATAAATTCTCATAAAATTCAACTCTATACTAATCTTCTTAATAATTATATTTCCAGAGGAGTTATCCGGTATTTTTGTGAAAAGCATAAGTGAAGGAAGTTCTGCGTTCATGTCTAAACAAATCCAACTCAACGATCGTATTATAGAGGTAACATAATGAAAATTTCATTAATGCATATTTGTTAATTGTAATTATGACAACAATATCTAAAAAATTATATTCTTTGAATAAAAATGTAAAATATGAATTTTAGTTTCTTAGAGTTCGTGAAGGATAAAACTTTCCAAGAGTAGCATTTTCCTTGTTGCATTCTTTATTTGCCTTTTTACCCTTGAGAAGTTATTATTTCCAGAGGTTATTTGTATGCTCTTGCATGAAGTCGCTCGATAATATAATAAAGAACACTTCTGATCTTGGAAAATAAGAAAATAATAACCCGCGACATTATCCGAGTAGATGGGAAATAAGCTATTTTGTTTATTTCCTGGCACGTGCCTTCAAATACTTTTGTAAGCCTTCTCATTCCACAAATTTCAATACGATGTACGGGTATATCCTTGTTTGTATAATAATTATATTCGGATACGTAGGTAGATGTTTATTTGAATGACTTTATTTATGAAAACGGGGTTAGCAATCAAATTAATTATCCAGAACTTTTCGGAATATGTTACTATATCCCACAAAATCTTAATGATTTTATTTAAAATAATAGAATATTAAATTTTGCATTTTTACATTTAATTAAATATTTGTTTCAAAAAACATGTTACAATAGTATGCACAAGATAATATCTGCTTCTTAGAAGTTCAAAATAAATAAAATAATTTTCATAAATATAATATTATTAATATATTTCTATTCATATCAACTGGTGTTATATATTATTATTTCTTATACCTAGGTTGATGGGGTTTCCTTACGTTCTCGTAGTAATCCAGAGGCTGTGAAGATTCTACGTGACACCGGCAACCGCGTTCGGCTGCGGCTTGAGCGTTACCTTCGCGGTCCTAAGCTGGAACACCTCAGAAGGGCGCTTAAAACACAAAGGGCTCTCAAATCACCTCCAAGTCCACCATCGCCTAGCGTTACTTCGTTGCCCAAATTTAGCGTCAGCATAGTAAGTTTCTCGTTTTACTAAATATTTACTCATTCTTTTTCATTGTTTAAACAGCAATCAGAAGTCTTACTTTACATGTTCTATAAGCTGTTTGTTGAAGACTTATGATTTAACGTATTTTATGAGAGGCAACCCATCGGTTTACCATTCGCCTATATGTGGAGTTTTATATTAGCTCTTACGTCTAATAGTTATCATATGATTGAATGATGTAGTTATGCCCACGAAGGACGATTTCCACTTGAAATTATATTACTAATTAATAATAGGAATAAAATTAATTATTTAGATTAAAACCGAGTATTGAAAAAATCGTTATTATGCCTTTTTATCTATAACAGGTTTTCGTTTCGATAATTTAGAATGCGGGAATGAAATCGTGAATTTTGAAATACATTTTGTTATTATAATATAGTTAGTGACATTGACAGCGGTAGATTATGAAAAATATGTAGATAACTAAAAACTGTTTAATATATTGCGACGATTTTGTTTAAGTATTTTCCGAAAAAAATTATGAATAATTTATGAAATATTTAGCGAATGTGAATTTTCAACATTGTAAAAATAGTTTCGTAGATAGAACATTTTTAAAATAATATTAAATTATTTTAAAAATGCTCTATTAAAGACATCGTAGCACACGCTATCGATAAATAATTTTATTGATAGAATATTTTGTTTGGTGAGATTTTTTTTACGTATATATATTATTATTATTATATTATTATTTTATTATATTATATATATATATATATTATTTTATTTATATATATATATATATATATATATATTAGGGTGGTCCTTAAAATGATCATTATCGAATTTCCTTACGCCCAGGGGCTCAAATGCTTCCAAATAGATAAAAAACAATTCTCTGAAAGTTTTAGCTCTCAATATTAAAGTTTTAGCTCTTAATATTAAAGTTTAGATAGAGCGCAATTCAATCAATGTTTTGCATGGAAATGGCTTGGTAAAATTTTCCAAAATTTTAAAAATGTTTTTTACATGTAATTTAGCGAACAAATGAATGAATAAAACTCATTCATTTGTCGCTAAGTTATACCTAAAACATTTTTTTAAAATTTTCAAATTTTTTTTATGCCCTTTTTATACGAAGTTTGATTGAATTGCGCTTTATCTAAACGTTAATATTAAGAGCTAAAACCTTCAGAGAATTGTTTTTTATCTATTTGGAACCATTTTAGCCCCTGGGAGCAAGAAAATTCAAAAATGACCATTTTAAGGACCATCCTAATATATATATATATATATATATATATATATATATATATTATACTTACCATTATATATATACATTTTGATAGAATTTGTTATTCTATTCCATTACATGTGACGATGGTTTAATTCTCTAAAAGCATAAGTTTTAGGGCGATAACCGATAAGAATAATTTATACACCGTCATAGATTGAAAGTTTTATACTACATGCGTGTCGAGAATGTGAGTTGTTTTTCAACTGAGACTAATTTATTTAATTGTGATTATAAGGAAGTTTAAATGTAAAGTATGTATTGAAATGGCCGCATGGTCAACATTAATCTGGGCGCAAATTTCTTCATTATAGAATGAATCATTTATTTACGGAATTAACGATTATAAGATGTACAAGGATATCATGTTTATATGAAAAAAAAACAATTGAAACAAAAACTACTATTGCATATCCAATTGTTCATAACATTAACCATCAGAATGGATTAGAAAATAATTTGTCTTTCAAATTTAGGTACATGTTAAAAATTAAGATTAAAATTATTTCTGGATTTTATATATATATATATATATATATATATTATATATGTATATATATATATTATATATATCAAAAATAGTAATAAAATTGGGTGATTAGTTTAAACTTGATCTAAGAATAGCCAAGTATTAGTAAGATGTAAACGGATGCTAAATATAATATGTTACAGTGTTTATAACTTTCAAATATAACGTATGTTAACTTTTTGCGCATTACTTTGAACTAAACAAATATAATCATTCACTTTTCTGCATCGGCTCAAGGTGTTAATTGTTTTGCTAGTATTTACGTCAATTCGGGATTCAGTATCGCTAATTTAAATTAAAAATTATTATTAATTATCTAACTCATTTTTATGATTATAGTTAATACTTTACATAATTTTATAAAATATTTAAAAAATGAAAAATATTAATGATAATTGCCAGTGATGTTCACGACATATACTTACAACATGTTTTATGTTTTATGTTCTTGTTGGTGTAAGTTACTTGTAATAGTCAAACAGTTTCTCGACGATTAATTCTGCTACTAAGGACAGTATTACAATAGTTTGATTTGCAGTTTGTCAAAATTTTGAGCTATTTTAACTAGTTTGCGGACGTGAATGCTATATTATTTCCGATTGAGATGAATGCTATAGTAGCCTTAAAGAAAATTATTTTGAATTTAACTTTTACGTTATGTACAAAATCGTATAATTTATATCTGCCAAGATAATGACTAACTGATTTTTCAGGTTTTACCATTATATTAAATTTACCCATAGTCATAAAATAACTTGGAAAAGCACAAGCGTAAAAAAGAAGCATTATACTTGACACGGATGCTATAGCATTATTTGCATATAACGATTAAAGTATGATAATCTTACTATCCTTATAAACGGTATTTGACCAAATTTTGAATACCACAACCAATTTAAAAACAAAATGACTATCAATTTTTCTACCTTGCTGAAACTTTACTCCCCGCGTACACGTTAATCTATTTCTGCTGCTGAAGTATAGAATTGATCCTCCTCAAATTAAAATTGAATGACAATGTGTTCTGATTGATCTATGTAATATCATAAATGAATCATTAACCGTACTTATAATTAATCGATTTGCATAAGTTCGTAATTGCTATCAGATTCAGTTTCGCTCTGAGAGCACGGTATTAACGAGTCTTCATGATTGATTGATGATCGATACGAAAGTGACGTAAACCGACACTCAGCATTATTGTTCCTGGGGATTTTTTATATACAATAATCCCCAAACCATTGAAAACTGCATTTATTCATAAAGCCCTCACAATGCCGCTTTACGGCCTTTTACGTAACTCCAGGGAGGTAATGTGAATTTTCCATTGTTACGGTCCGTTTGGATTTTATTTGTCCAAAATACAACTTTTATAAAATCATAAAATTCTTTATGCCATTCGAAAGCGTACAATTTATTGAGCGCAGAATTATGACGTCGTTAGAGACGATGTCGGTTTGGTGTGACGACTATATGGAGGTGACCAAACCTTTTTTGCACCGCAAAACCGCAATCAATAGTTGAAACGTGTATGGTTTTTTACTCAGATGTGACTAACAAAACGCAATTATATTCACAAAATGTAAGATCATCTCGTATGTTGCGAGATTTCATCATTTTCATATAAAAACTTTTCTACTATTAGTAAACACATTTTGAACAAAAAAATTACAGTCAGAAACTAGATGGTTTGGAATTCAAAAACTATTTTTTTCAATTTATACAAATGATTGTATATCCATTTGCAATGAGTAATAATTATATTATATTAACCATAAATCAAATACATATATGTACCAGTAAAATTTCGACTGATTATGATATACTAATTTCAAATTACTAGCGTTTACAGCGAATAATGCGTAAAATACTCATTAAATATGTTATTTATGTTCGAATTAAAATTCGTTATTATATAGCATAAGCTTTTCAAAAGTTATTTTATTATGCTGTAATATTTACACCTGTTCGAAAATGGACAAGTAGAATTTGAAAAAAAGACTATAAAAATACAAATTTTTCTGCCCACTATTAGAGATTTTGAATTGACATATATAAATGTAATATGAATTTCTTTTTCAATCTTGTCCTGGTAGTTCTGTGGCAAGTGGGTTTAAATGATCCTCGTATTTCATCTTTGTTTAAAAAGATGACTTATTGTTTTAAATCACCACAAAAATCCTTAACTCTTGAGATTATTAGAATTTTTCGTTCATTTGTTATATTTTATTTTTGTTAATCAAGACTTTAATGTCTTATTTACAAAATTGATAGGCGCAAAAAAAATAATACAAAAAATACAATAAATTGAATATAAAATGAAAAAAGTTAAAATAAAATAAAATAAAAACAGTGATACAAAAATAATAACAAAAATGAACTATGGCGTGATGAATATTAATTTATCTTTAAGACAAATAGAAGTAATTCCTTGAATATAAATCTTGAAAAATTATTTCAAGCTTTTCATATTTGCGTATATTTGGGTTTAATTTTTAAAATCAAGGTCATATTATATGTATATGAATAATTTTTGAGACAATAATATATAATTCTTCTGATATTAAAATATGTTATATTCTGCTTTCGATTTTTTTTTTGGATGGTAAATTATTAAAGAATTGTTATTCTACAGTTTATGACTTAGTACGATCCTGTAAAATATAGATTTGCAATGCACGTATTGTTTTTGAAATTACAAGCTTTTATCGAGAATAAAGTCTAAAATACTGATTGTGAGTAAATAAGTGATTTATATGTAAAATGAAATGCGTAGTAATGTAGCCTTGGCTATTCCAAAGTATATTTGCAGAATATTGTATTATTTTAAATATTTGCAGAATATTTAATATTTTATATATTCTACAAAAAAATCTGAACTTTTGAGATCTCAGAAGTAAATATTTTATTCATTCATTTTTAAGACAAATAAAAATCATTCCTGAAAATCTTCAAATATTATTCCAACTTTTTCTATAATTTTAAATTATGACTATTAAGTTATGAATTATGAATTTCCTGGTTCAAATTTCATAATTATAGCGTTATTATAATAAAAATTATAATGAATAGTAGTCTGCCCGAAGGAAATTCCATGGTGTGGAAGCCACCACAAATCAATGATTCACTTTCCCTTTCTGGTTTGCTTTTCCCATTATTATTAAACTCTTTTTTATACACTTTTATGCATTTTTCTTCACAAACTTCTGCTTCCATGTTTTCTTATTCTGCGCTCCTATATATAATTATAACTTATAAAGCCCTGTTTTGTCTCGGCCTTATTATATATACCAATAATTTTAAGTATTTATATATAATTTTAAATTTTTTAAACGGTGCCATGTAGTGTTTTGGCAAGTAAGTTTGTGTGATTTTCGAGACAGCTTTTTCACTTATCTGAATAGTTTGTATATTATCGTTTACTAAGCTGATGTCGACGTCTTTATTAATCAGCCGATTCAGTGCATATTTTGGGGGCCACTCAAAATTTCTTTTAATAATCCATTTCAATATTATTTTTTTTTATTATTGTTGATGATGAAATACGGTCCTGTGAGATGTAGATTTGCATTGCATTTATTGTTTTGATCATGTTCAGTAGCACGTTCGTCTTTTACGTAACAGTTTAGTAAAGTATTATTTTAGTAGTTCTGCTTGAGACGTGCGCGATGCGGAGTCAGTTATGATATGTAGCGGTTTCGCAATTATCTCACAGTGTCGACTGGTCAATTAATTTATACAACGTGACTGCCTTCGTTTAATTGAATAATAATACCTTTGTGAACAATAGATTTAGTGCTAAGATATTTCTTCTCATATAATTGTCTATAGTGATATGTGCTGTGTTGGTGGCTGCAGGATTAATCAGTCCGCATAGCAATCAAAGGTTTGCAAATGATCAATAGCGCAGTTTGGTGTTCAAAAATAAACACGTGTGGCATTGAATGTTTATCGGAATACAATTCTCTCAACAAATATCAATAAATTTTATGATTCTAGCAATCAATTTGTATACGTGTATGATTTTACCTATTTTATTATTCAAAAAGATTTGAATTTATTTAATAAATGAGAATGGTTTAAAAAGTAGAAGATCGATGAATGAAAAATTGGACAGAAACGCACGTGGCAAATTATTTTTATACGTTTTAAACTTATAATTTATATAGTGCTTTTATTTTTAAATGTTTATATAATATCACACTTGGTTTTAATTATACACGTATAAAAACAAAATAAATCTGTACAGGCAACCATCCAATAATTAAAAGAGAACTAGGTATTAATTTTTGTAAAAAGTCTTCTATACGTTTTGAGTCCCAGATTGACTTTCTTTATGGATAAAATTAAAAAACATTTAATTATATAATAAATATATAATAAATAATAGAAGATAATAATATAATAAATATAAAAAAAAAATATAATTACCAGAAAACAAATTACACAACTTAAACTTACTTATTTTACTCGGTGGATGCCGACATAAAAAACTTTTTTTTACAATTATGTACATATATCTTTCACATATGTCTTTTATAATCTTATATATATATATATATATATATATATATATGTATATATATATATTAGCATTTTATTAGTATTCCAAATCATGATTCAAAAATGATCCAACACAGTGAAAAACTAAACTATTACTTTTTTGGGCGTAACATGATGAAAATCTTTTCAAGAAATTATCACATAATTATCGAATTATTACAAGTTACAAATATGCCTAATTTTTTATATTTATTTTTTCTGTTACAATGTCATTTTGTTACACTCAATTCTGTCAGATTTGCTGCTTTATTTTCTGTCAGTTATGTATAGCCAAAAGCCAATAACCCAGATAATTAATCGGTATTTAAATTAACACCTGCATGTGAAATATACATTGATTAATGTTAAATAATGTTGTGAGAGAGGAATTTTTATGTGAGCTGTTTCTCGTTTTATGCCGCTCACCAAAAAGCAGTAAAACTACCGAATTGCAACATGAAATATTCACATCCAATGTACTGCTTTTGGCTATATACTCCTTGAATTATAAAGAACCTCTAAATAAATTGGGCTAGAAAAATGAGATTTTGGATCCGAATGTAGTATTGTTTGATATTTATTTTGTTTTATATAAATAACATGAGATGCATATAATAAATTCAGGTACTACTTTGGATAATGGATAAAATTATAACATCAACAAATTATGATAATTTGAATGTTAATCTCCAAAATGTTTATTATTTATTTATCAATTATCAACCTAAAACGAATTTGGAAATTGAAGGTTAGAATATATATGTATATGCTAATTAACACAATCTGCGAGTTTTTAAATATATGTATTATCTTATGAAGATGTTTGAACACTAATTGCAAATTAGTGTTGCGCACGATATAATTTTTTATTTTGGGGATTTTTTGGAGATTCAGTATTTCTAGTTCGATAATTTTCTGACTACTGCTGCTAAATAATAATGTAATGATGACTACAATTTTACATCTATATTTCGTTTCCTGTAAATATTTAATTCGTTTTATGTGAAAATTCATATTATAACGAAATTCTGCACGGCCACATTTTTACATACTATTGAATTTGAATTATTTCCATCTATAAATTATTTATTTTCTTTCCTAAGGAGAATTTTATCTTTTATTTTTATTAAATTTTATTTAATGATCAAACTATTTTTCCAGGACGGTTACAGTTTTTTCGATACCGAAGTCAGCGTAACAGAATCTGAGGTGCACACCGAGCAAGGTGATCAACCGGCTGCTGATGAAACAGTCGAGATCACGCCTACAAATGAAGATGTCGAAATTGTAATAACAGGTGCCGCCGATACTAAAAATATTAAGAGAGAAGATAGCGGTAACCAGGATAATCTATCGATTACTAGCACCAGTACTACACCTGGTTTGTTGTTGACTGCTGCGAACAAAGCACTGAAGTCAAGATGGCAACGGGAAATGGGCAAGGATGTTCGCATAGTGGTTAGTCAATAGGGATATAGTTTGTGCAAATTATATCTAATGTTTTTCAGTTTCAGTTCATGTTTGCTTCTTTTTATGAATCGCAAATCTTTTATTATCCACAAATTTTAATTTCTAAATTGGTTCTTCTAGTTATTGAAGTGTAGTCATTTTTAGTTTCATATCCAAAATGTACTGTAAATATTGTCATTTACATTATAGGTAGCTGAAGTCTGCAAAGAACCAGGAGGTGGCCTGGGTATAAGTTTGGAAGGCACAGTAGACGTCGAGGGCGGAGTAGAACTAAGGCCACATCATTATATTCGTTCAATTAGGCCTGGTGGTCCAATAGCTCGTGCAGGAGTGTTTCGTGCTGGTGACGAACTTCTCGAAGTTAACGGAGTGAGTGTGTAATGTATTGCTTAAATTAAATGTAATTCATTTTTTTTTAAACTTTGTATTATTAAATTCAATATTTATCTATTCATCAGTTTATCACCAAATATAGTTTAATAATAGTTAACATAATAATTTATCTTTGGTAGTAATTTGTCAATTAAGTATAGTGCAGAATTCCTTATTGTTTTATAATTTTTTTCAATTTATCTGTTATTTTTACCTGTATGATATTTACCACTTCAATATTTATTATTATCTAAAGGTGCGTTTGCTTGGCCTCCATCACTTAGAAGTAGTCGCACTCTTAAAAGCCTTGCCATCTGATGTCGTCTTGGTCTGCTGTCGGATAAGAGCCGGAAAAAATGATGGTGGAGTTGATGGCACCACGTACGAAGTTGGCAGAGGAATAATTGACACTTCACAGCACGAAAAAGCTTTTGCATCACGAGTAAATATTTTTTTTTCACTTATAAAAATTTCACCTCTTAATTTATTCAAACTCACTTTGATAGTTTTAAACTCACTTTGACAGATTTAAACTCACATTTTAGACCAGATTTTAGATTCGTGAGATTATTTTCCTCTAACATTTATTGATATATTATATTGCATGAATTTACTTTTGATACCACGGAATATTATTTGATTAGTTTATTCTACAAATCTTGCAGTAATATTATATTATTCAATTAAGTTTTCTCCTCTGCAGAATATACTTGGAGGAAGTTTGCAGAATCTTTTACAAATTCCTGAGAGGCTAGTAAAAGCTAAATCTGAAAGTTCTCTTTCATCCTTTGCACATTCAAATATTTCAATGACGCCAAGCAATACTGGTAATATAATAGAATTTGATAAATAAAAGATACATTTTATGTAATGATTTTGTGAAAGAAGGTAGTGCCTAAATCAGAACAAATGGATCGGGTACAAATAATATTTAATTTTTTGTACCATGGCAATTTACATTTTCTTACATGGCAATTCATAAGAATATTGACAAATAATGTGATAATATATACGAAATGTATTTTACATTTCAGCTGAAATTAGTCCGTGCCCTCCAAGCCGAAGTAGGTCTTTGGAAGGGACGGGATGCTTGGGCGGAGTCGCCATGTGGAAAGACTCAGCAGAAAAATTAGAACTTATTAAAGGCGACCATGGTCTTGGTTTTTCTATATTGGATTACCAGGTCATAAATCAAACATTTTATTCAATTTTTATAAGTTTATTAAATTTTTGATGTTAAACATATAATGATTATTTTCTTCTCTTTTTCAGGATCCGATGGATTCTACCAAGACTGTGATTGTGGTTCGTTCTTTAATAACCGGTGGGGTAGCTGCAAAAGACGGTCGTTTGCGTCCAGGAGATCGGCTCATGGCCGTCAACGGAATATCAGTAGCTCGGCAGCCCCTGCACAAAGCCGTGCATCTGCTTAAACAGGCGCCAAAAGGACCTGTAGAATTGGAAATAGCCAGGCCGGTCACAAAAACCGTTCAAGTAATATATTGATTGATTTAATTAATTTACAAAATGCTATGAACCAATTTTCATCTTGTTTGATCATCGGATACAATGCTATTAATGAAATTATAACATTTATTTTGCTTTTTAACACAATACATATTAATTGAAGTATTCATCTGTAAAGATGGTTTTTAATATAACTGGCTCGTTTCTCAATTTATGCTTGACTAAAAAAATCATATATTCGAATAATTTTATTTTCTTATTATCACTCAAATTTATATAATATATTCACATTTTTGTGTGAACATTTATCCCATACAATAACTAATATTGATTCTCATATCATTCTTCTAATATTGAATCATCATTTTAACGATTTCAGGATTTTTGCTACTTGAAGAAAATCATGACAAAGGCATTACTTGGCTTTTGACAAACAGTACGTTCAGTTTAAGTAATAATTGTCTTTATGTCGTTGTTTATCTGTGTAGTTTCTCGACAAGTTAAAAATAAAATACCAATATGAAACAATAAGTTAATTGAAATGATACCTAATAAATGTGCGCTGTTTTTACAATACTGATAGAATACATTACATTACACGGACAAAAGATACGTACTGTTTATTGTCAAATAGAATTTTCACGATTAGTAAATTGTTTGTGTGAACTTGCTTTGTGTGATTTGTCAAGCAGCAAAAGTATGTATATTAGCATGAACTCACAAAATGCTTTTAGTTTATATGTTAGCACTGATTAGTAATTATGATTTTATAGTTTCATTGATTTCTTAATATTTGGAAACAAAATTTAAATCAAAATTCATTTAATTCATTATTCAAAGCATCATAGGAGAAGTTACGATGCATCTTTCCTTATTGAAAAATCTATTTCAACAAATTCGAATCAATTAATTAAATAGAGGTTATTTGTGAATATTAGGAATGAAAATAGTTTCATAGTTTAATTTAAAATAATTATATATTTTGTATCTCAACAGGAGGATTCAGCACAATCCAACAGTTCTGAACGCGGTGCCAGTAGTTCAGATGATGATAGAACTGGACCTGATGATTTTATGAATGTTTGGACAGTTATGGAGAAGGCTTGCAAGTTGTGCAAATTTGTTTGGACGATGCGGGTAGTGATGAATGCTGTTGGGAGAGAGGTCAATATATTTATATAATTTGTTCATGAAATAACTACAGTGATAATATTTTTTTCTACATAAAATCACATACTGACATTTGTCATATAAATAATTAATTTGATATACAATAACAACTACTATATTATTATTAGTGTGCACTCAAATCAATCTCCGCACTTTCATTTATTCAGTGTCCAAACTTTCTGTTTCTCATGCTGCAAAACCAGATGGAGACACAACTCAACCTACAACTGATACTACACAGCCAGTTGCAAATGGAGATTTGAATAAAACACAAGAAATACAGACGCCTGACGAATTACCAAATGAGTTAACCAAAGGTTTATTTTATTATTTAAAATCATAAATGAATAACTTGAATTTTTAAAATAATTCTCAAACCATCAGATGCCGACGTTTCATCTAAAACTATAACGGCTAATGAATTTCCCAAAACAATCTCAAGATCACATTCTAAAGAAATTTCAACTTCAGATGAAATGGTATTCGCGGTTACTCCAACAGGATTGGAACGTATCAGTTTTGAGAAATATTGGCAAGATTGCGAGATACAAGTAAAACAATTGAAACTTTGAAATTAAAGTAGTATGTTTCATGAAAATTATTTTGTAGGTGGAAGATAAGCCTGTTTGTCGCGAATACATAGCGACGAATCTTGAAAGATTGCAGAAGTACTATATGTTCACCGCTTGAGAATCTCCAATTAACTGAAAGAAAGCCTTTGTCTTCCAACGGTCAACTGAATTTAAGTAGTCAGGATTTAAGATTTATTGATGATGATCGTTCAATCGAAATAACACACCTAAATGTGTTGACGAAAATGTTCCAAAATTGTAGAAAACAATAATGTTATCGATGAACGAAAAATCCAAACGTAAGAAGCAGAAGAAATAGTAGATGATATACTTAAAAATCCTTCAATTGT